AGAGAGAGAGAGAGAGAGAGACCGCTATTTATTTTTATTGAGTGCTTCAGGATGATATCCTTCCAAAGGCTAAAAACAATTACAGTATTGTAAAAAATAGTATATAAATAAACAAAATAAGATAGCGATAGAGAGAAATAAAATAATTAAACATATAAATAAAATAAACTACAGGACAGGAAAAAAGGAGAGAATAATGATTTCACAGTAAAACTTTTATATCAAAGTTAAATAATAGAGGCTTTTTCTTGCTAAAAAAAACGGCAATTGATTGTATCACGTTTGTTTTGAATTAAAACAGAGTATTTTTAATATTTGAATAGTTTTGTATAAAAGAATGTTGATTAAAAAAAAAGTGTCACGTGCAAGTTTAACATAAAACGTTTTGCATTTATATATATTGCAAATGTATAATAAACAGAACAAATCCTGTTTTAAAGATTGTAAAAGAGAAGTAACGTTAATTCCTTTGTAAATGTAAATAACGATATCCGGGTTCTAGGTAGTGCGAGAAATTGTGGATTACATTGTGAACAAAGCGACAGAGATTGTCGCTGTGTTCGAGAGATCCCGCAATGATTACCTAAATCGGAAACGTCGGATAATGATCCAGCAGCTGAACGGATCGGGTGAGATAGATCCGGCTGAACTCTTGCCACCGGAAGAGATAGCGGAACACTTAGTTGTAGACAATCCATCGGACAGTGACGAGCACGAACACAAGCAATCTCTCGTGTTAATCGAGAACGAAACGCTCAAAGATCACAAGAGAGTGCAACAGGACGAAAGAGTGATCTTTTGGCTGCCGCGGAATGTTTGTCTGGTAAATCTCTTTATTTACTCCAGCGAGTAATTACGAGCAAGGATCTTTAAAAGGAAAATTAGATTTTACATCGAAAGCATGAGATCTTATTTGAAAGATCGGAGAATAGAGCTTAAAAAATTTTAAATATTGCAAAAGCCAAAATGAGCAAGAAACACAATTTTTTAGTTGGAAAAGCCGACGCTGTAAACAATTAAGTCATATATGTTAACATATAACTTCTTTCGTGGTAATTCGAATTTTTATCGAGTTTAATACAGACGATCCCAAAACGTGGCCCTTTACCGGTTTTTTTTTTTTCAGACGGTTTTGTCCACGTGTCTGCCGTGGCTCGCGTCACAAGAGAACCTCTTCGAAACCACTCTGAGCCTTCACGAAGGAATAGCACGCGTATATGACGAACTAAGGGACGAGGAGCTGAATGAAGATAAGGACCTCGCTTTAGCTCACCGTCTGGTGAGTCACAGCTTTATCTGCGAATTACTCCGCGCTTCTAGCAAGTTTACCTCGAAGAACATGGCAAAACTACTTCGTAGTATTTTGAAAGACGAGGATGGGGCAGAACGACGTGACAGATAAAAATTTACGTTTAATACATAAAATAAAATATTAATGAAAAATAAAGATGCATGGGATATACATGAAACATAAATTCTCCGATCTTTTTAAATAGGAGTACTTTAATTGTAAAGTGACTCGACATTTTACTGTAAATATTTTTCCAAGATTCCGCATCGTGTCGCAGACAGATTTTACTTTTTACAGATCGCTTAAGGGTATGAATATTTGGCTCATGTCTTCTCGAGAGAACGGCGCTTCCTCTATCCGAAAAGGGTGCACACTGCATCCCCGTGCGATCGTATTTACCATGAAGCGGAGCCTTTCCCGCCTTTCGTGACCGAGCAATTTGCCGACAGCTGTCAGATGTCGCCACGCGGCCGGCACGCACGCTAGTCGGACGGCTGCGGGCGTCTCCGCCAATCAGCGCGCCGCGTTTCCGTCGGCGCCGCCGCGGACGCTGGCGCTCGCGCGCGGCCGCATCACGACAGTTTCGCGACGAGATGTCCTCCGCGGTGGAGTTCACCGGAGCAGCTCCGCGCCCCTCTCTCGCCCCGCGACAAGCGACCGTCGTCGTCTGGCGAGCGACGTTATCCGCGCACCGTCGTCGGCACGCCCGCCGCGACGCCCGCGATTCGCCGATGGGCCGCCGGCCGCGCCGATAATCCTGACAGGAACGTAAACGGCGTGACCTGGGGAAGGGAAAGATACGACATCGAGCGCGAGCCTTCGGGAGCGGCGCCCGAATTAACGCGGCCTCGTCGGCCCATCGTCCTCGCGACAAGGCCGGCTCTGTGGAAGCTGCATACACGAACGGACACGACGCCACCCGATTCGACGCGACACGATCACGTGGCCGTCCGTCCGTCCCTCCGACCGACCGTGTTTACTTTCGTCCGTTTATTCGTTCGTTCGTTTGTTCGATCCCATATGCGCGTCCGCGAGCGCCGAATTGACAAACAGTGCGTCGCGACGTCGGCGCGTTCATCTCGTGCGTTCGGTATGTGACGCTGTGCGGTTGTGTCCCTCGCTCGTCCCGCGCTCCGCTGGAAATCCCGGATGCTGCGTGTCCACGCCGAGGTGGCAGGGAGAAGGTGACGCGGTGGTCATCGCGGATCGACAACGGTTGCTACTGTTAAGGTAAGCATCGCAGTGTTATGTCGACACGTTATTGTTTATCTGCGACGGCAGAGATTACGTCAGGCTGGGTTCACGTGACAGCTGATGCCGAGAGATTATACCGCAGTCGCCGAAAGAGACAGAGAGAGAGAGAGAGAGAGAGAGAGAATCGAGACCTATTTTTCGTCGAATCGAAATGTCAAGTTCCACTTATATCAAGTTCACTTTAAACGATAATTTGCGTCGTATAAAATTCTATTTTTCATTTTATCTGCCATACATATTTCGATATACATTTTACATACGTATTCTGATAACAAATGTTTATAAATTATATATCGGATAATAAATAATTGTGGCAATTTAATAGATATTTTTATATGTTCTATATTTATTTTGACATACATTTTATTTTATGTGTCTATTTTGTAATAATAAATGATATTTATATAAATATATACACGGTAATAAATCGTTCTAGTAACAGATATTTTTTACATGCATGTATTCTGACGCTATAAATATTTTTACATCGTACTTAAAATAAGATTCTATTCTTGATTCTATTCTCTTACTGACACTAATTGTAGAGCGTCTAAAGTGGACGAATGGTATTTACCCAATTCCAAATGTTCAATTTTTTTAATAGAACTTTCATTCACGAAAAAAAGAAAATGATATATACAAGACGAAATAGATAATCGCGACGAGCGTAATATTTCAATTATTTCTCTTTTATCGGTCAGTTTTAGCTTGCGTGCGCGATGACAAGCAATTGAGATATCTCTCTTCTTCGCTCTTCCTCTGAAGATTTCAAAATGGTATTAAACGCTCGCGTGCACTCCCGGCTGTACCGTGTTATTTCTCGGATTATGATACTGCAGGAAAGTTAATACGCCGAAATTACACGATTCATTTTGTTCAGCGAGACACACACGCGAAACTACATTACGTTAGATCCGTGCATTTTGCATTTAATGCGCAGCGCGGGGCCAAATGAGATTGTAGGAATAAGTTCGCGAAATACGCTTGCAATTCGTCGCTTATTAAACCGGTGGAGCACCGCTCCGAAATTCCGAGGTTGTAATTTGGCACGTTTTCGACCGTGCAAATATGTCCGGACACGATTACTTTTCCCATGTCGTACTCAAACTTCGTACATTCACGCAAACGCCGGAAAATCGTAACATCGTATTCTCAATGGAGTGCATTTTGTAATTTGTTAATTCCGAATTTACACGGCCGAACTTTAACGAGCACGAGTGGCTGTGCAGTTAATATTATAATAGTCAATCTGTTATACATTAATATTATCATAATAGTTGTTTTGTATAAATAATGCACAACAATCAATTATATCGTCGATTAATTAGAAATTCTAGTATGAATTTTCAAACAGCAGTTCATTCTGTTATTTTAAGAGAAATGTATATTACTGTTTTAAGTAAAAAAAAAAGGTGTAAATAATACGAAAAGGTATTTCAAGGAAATTCTTTCTTTAAGAAAAGAATATTTATAATTTTTAAAAAATATTTTTATCAATATTTTCTTATTCTCTTAAGTTTTAGAGATAAAACTGTTGGTTGAAAGTTCGTATATTGATTCTTATTTAAAATAGAAAACTTATCTCTTTAAGAAAATAATATTCAGGATAAAATTAACTTTATCAAACTTTGAAAACTTTATCCATTTATTTGCGAATTACTGCAACAAATGGAGATAGCAAGAGAAAAACTTAATGAAGTCAAATGACTTCTAATGAAATTATTCGGGTTACTCGGATTTTTAAATCACGCGTCCATCGGCAGCGAAAAGTTTGAAATTCATATTTATCAGTTTTGAATTTGTTTCTTGAACTTGAGGGATAAACTGAAGGAAGTTCTAAACTGAGGAGTTAAAAAGTTTATATACCGATTTCTATATTTTAAGAAAGAAGTCTTTTATCGTTATTTGAAAAAGACCTATTGTAGGGATGAAGTTGCAAACTGACGTGTAACGGATATTTAAAATCGGATATTTAAAAATTATCGTGAATTTAATTGCGAGCGGTCGCTGCAATAAAAAAAAATTGTCAAGTAACTTTCGGTAGCGGCCATTTGAATTTTTAACAGTCAGTCAGCGCGGGTCTATCGGTTGTATAAAAATCTGAAATTCGAAACGAAATCGCCGCGACGCTATTGTGCAAAAAAAAACAATGCAGGAATCCCCTACGTGCACGGTGACCTAAATGCGCGGCAGTACGCTTTTAATCCGCGTAGACGAAGCGTGCGCATCGATAAAGGCGCGCGGGACAGAATCGGGACGAGGAGGGCGCCTCTTTTCTTCCCTAGCAAAAAAAAAAAATAGTTCTCGCTTCATCGCCGAGAGAGTGGGTCTTACCCTCCTTATTCATCCCGCGAGTAGTTTCCCTTGTTTATTCGAGAGGGAGACTCGAAATAATGCCCGACAGCGAGAGCGAAACTTCGCTCCTCTCTGGAAGCACTCAACGAGAAAGTTCAAGCGTATAAAACACAAACTCTTACGAAATAAATATGTACTCTTATAAAAAACATCGGTTTTTCTTCTAGCCTAAAAGCACGAAATTACCACGATAAATATCTTCTCGTTCTACCTCTGTATGTCTATACGGCACAAAATTCTATCTTTCACTTGTTTGCGCTTTTGCAGAATTTATAAAAGTTGATCTGCGACAATGACCTAGTTTACATCGAGCATTTGATACGCGTGGTACTAGTAGCTTTCTATTACATTTTTTTAATTTCTACAATGCATTTAAAGAATGCCAAGATGTACCAAGTTGATACCCTATATGCATTAAGATGATTAAATAAATACACATATAATTAAATACGTTTATATGCATCGTCGAAATTAAGAAAATTTAATAGAAAGTTACTATAGTTAGTACGCGTATCAAATGATCGGTGTAAATTACCGGTATAAATAGGTCAATGAGTAATCTAAATCTCTATATGATATAAAATTCTCTAATTTTACTGTGTATATATATTAAACCTTTTGCTATTACTGCTGTATATCTTTTCCTTTCTTCTAAATGATTTGCGCTATTCAGAATCAACGGAAAATAATAAACCGGTCGATAGATAAATGATTAGAGATAATAATGCCGCGTTTGAACTCGATATTCGACCATAAACGGTGAACAAAGCGTGAAAATGACCGGCACGTGTGCCTACGCGTGCGTGTGTATTAAACGCAACGCCGCATGCTTTTTGCGTATTTGCATAAAACGAGATGAGTTTCCCTGTAACGCTAATGGGGCGCTGTAAATCTCGGCGATTATAATGTCGGAACGTTAGTTGCAGCGAGCGTTGCCATTGTGCGCGCCGATTCGATACATTACGACAAATTCGATTCTCTGTTAGGCCGGCTGGTGGCAATTCGAATTTTGCAGCAAATTGTACTTTATTATGCTACGAGTCATTAGTTACGTCCTACGTGCAGCGGTAATTAATGTCGGCGTTCGATTGTGGCTTTCGCGCGGCGCGGGTCGACAGAGAATTTCGATAAATTCCAAAACGCGAACACTGTCGCGCAAAAATGCATCATTGTATCTCGTAATTTTATATCTTTTATAAATTTGGTATTAAGGATCATGCCGATAATACCGGAGGGAATTAAATGTAATTGAAATTTAATTAAAAATGAATCAAAAATTTAATTGAAGATCAGTGAAAATTTCATTGAATTTTTATCGTGTTTTCCGCAATTTTTTTTCCGAGAGACTGTTTTCGTAATCCATCGTTGCAATAAAATTCAGTGTTTTAGAGATGGGGGGAGGGGGGGAAGAGAACTTTTCGTGCCGGTGAATGTTTTTATACATGCGTATTTACTCCTCTCATATTAATATGTGGCTTCGTTTCGAAATTTTACTTTACGGTCACGATTGTTTCCGCAAATAAAATCAATGGAATTTCGCGATTGTTATAGCGTTTCATTAAGTATATTCCGCATAGCTTTGTCTGGATAAGCGAAACGAAGACGTGCAGTACGTTCCGTGTGTGATATAATTTAATAATTATTAGATTATCACGCGCGCGCGTGTGTTTATACGGTCACTAAGTGTCTACCGGAACAATGACGAGCGATCGCTTTCGTGACAAGTGACCGTGACAACGTCACGGTTATGGCTGCTGGTCGTTCGTAATGTTATTGAAATCGTCGGTAAGATTGTCGAAACACGACGATCGTTATCGGGCACGTGGCTGTGATTAATCGTTTGTCTGTCGTGCGGCTCGATTATACATGGAAGCTGTCCGTCCGAATCGAACGGACTAACGTTTGCACCGCGTTTGGTATTGTGCACGTTTCGAAGCGCTTCCCCAATGCTCTATCGATCCCTTCGATTATTCCGGGATATAATACAATTACGGCCGGTTCCCGATTCCAATGCGACCGCGTACGGGATACTCGTCCATTAGTGTATTGCGGGTCATTGTGCGATCTAGTAATCGCGCGTCTATGTGTAAACCGGTTCGCGTTAACCACAACTCGCTCGCTTTTTCTCATCTCCCATTAATTTTTCCCATATTATTTTTATACACCCGATACGGTTGCAACATTGAATTTCACCGCGCAGGTTCAGGTAACACGCGGAAATGCTAGGGATGCTCGAATTTCCTATACGTTTTTCGTAAATACATTTTTTTCAGACTTGTAAGAAAATGTTCGTTGTGTTGCTATAACGATATCGTAGTGTGACTCACATCTATCGCACATTTATTAACTATTTTATGAACATTTATATTGCGTCTGTGCTATTTATTTAAACAGTCAGTCATTTATTTAGTTGCATTTATATATTATTTTTAAATAACTTTAAAAATATTTTTTTTATTGTTTTTCTAACAAAATGCAATATACGAGCAATGAAACATTTTTATTTTAACAAACTATGAACTGTACAACGTTTTTTTTCTCTTTTTCTTCGAGTACTGCAGTATTTTACAGAAAAATACCGCTCAAGAATAGAATTCGAGGAAATTGCTCGGTCGAAAGTA